ACTCTTCGTTGGTACGCTGGCTATCATGGTACTAGGAGTCGTGTGGGCAGTTATGGTTTGGGTGGTTAATGCGTGGATGGACATGAGGAGTATAACAAACAAGGGAAAAACAACCAGGAAGAGGAGAGCAAAGAGCATGGGTGAAGAGAAGAGACCGATTGACAAAGTGAGCAAGTACGCGCATCGACATGGCGGTAGCGACGAGACATGGGTTGACACGACAACGAATATGGACATGGACAGTGATAGCGCTGTCACGTCGGCAGCCCAGGTCCCATTCTCGTATTTGGGAAACAACGGGCATATTGGTGAGAACATTGAGATGAAGTACAGACCCCGAAACAGGACATCTCAGTTCAACCGTCCGCGGAGCCAGCCAATTCACACCGAAGCTCGAGATCGCACACACACTTTTCACCGCCGCATACCCTCCCCACCATCAGCAAACCCACGATCCAACCATCCGCCTACTCCAACAGTCCGCGCTCGGCACTCTCCGACTCCGTCCGTGGCCTCATCGCCAGTGAATCCTTTCCTAGATCCATCTCCCAACGGCCCCCTTCAACCAGGTACAGGCGGCGTACTAGTAAAGCGTACTTCTTCGGAGTGGAAAACTGAACGAGCAGCCTTCTTCGCCACCAAGACTGCGACTTCAACCCCAGTGTCAAGATCAGTATCTCCGGCGCCGAGTCGCACCAACGACCATAGCAGTGAGACGTTTGAGCTTGATATTGCTGATATAGAAGCCTTGGAAGCGGGCACAGCACCTCTGACGGGTCGGAGGCAGCCACAGTCTGACTTTAATCCTTCATTTACTGGAAGTGGTCTAGTTGAGAAGAGCAAGAGTTGGATCGATGAAGGCGTAGGGTTTGTAGATGGCGCTGTTAGTGCTGTTGCTGCGCAGATAGGGAGATGGACGGACGACGATGGTGGTGATGAGTCGCTATTGTTGCCTTACACAAGGCAGGGGAGAGAGAGAGGGGTGAGTGTCGCATAAGGGATGCGTCATGTAGTCAGTAGATGTAGAACGACGAGAATCTGGATGCGCAGTAAAGATGCTTGAACATATGAACGATGCTTTGATGAAGATGGCGGGTTGAATTCAAGCCCTCGTGAACGCTTTGTCTCGGGGCAAATGGTATCATCCAAGCGAGCACCCTATCCTAAACGCCAGTAGCAATGCCCGATATTGTTGTGTCCTAAATATCTCAAATATCAAAGTCCTTCCGCAAAATCTCCTGTACCTCCAGGTCCATTCCCTTCTGAATCATATGCGCAGCTACAAGATTGCCGACCTTGTTGACCAGTTGTTCCCGGAGGTCATCGAGATCTGGCGCGTTGTATGTTCCTTGCTGTTGCTCTCTCTGTTTCTTCTCTCTCATGCTCTTGGGTACCAGAGCTGGGAAGGAGCCCACAAGCACTGCAAGAAGAATCTCGGCGTCGTGCCTTGTACTTTCGTCGGCGAGCTTTTTAGAAAGGAAGTCATCATTGTACATCTTAATGTTGGGTAAGATGAGCCCCCTTAGTGCGTCGCCGGCACCCAGGACCAAGAGGAGTGCTTGTAGTGCACCAAAGTGCGTCCCAACCGACTTGTCGGGGTCCATGAATTGCTTGAGACAGGTGCGCGCAATCCGTGACTTGAGTCCTTGATTCGACGACGCGTGCTTCCTACAGATATCTTTGAGTAGATGCGCTGCAAGAGTTCGCAGATAGAAGGCATCTTGGGTAGCGCGGTTGTGGTCGGGCATAACCCCGTTGAGTGTTTCCGAAGAAGCGTTGGATGGTGCTGGGTTTGCTGGTCCTACTTTGCCGCCAGTGCAGCATGTTAGGATGGGTGGTACCATATATGCGACGTACGGATCGAGGTAGATGGCCTGGTTCTTCAGCAAGGCCTCTGCAGCGCGCATCATCTGCGTCAATATGAATAGGTTTTTCATGTTGTGTGTGACCTTTTCGGCTATAAAGCTGAGCAGGTATGTTGTCAACTGGTGGATGCCAGGCTCTGTCGAGATGGCTGCGAGTGCTGCATTCTGCCACTCGATGTTGGTTTCGTCGATGAGGGCGCCTGAAAGCTTGTTGAACAGCTCTTGGGATTCTTTGGACAAGACGTGTTTGACCAGCGGCTTGACGTTGACGTTGTCCAGGCCATTGGCAGCAGCCAGATGTGGATTTGCGTTGGGGCCCTTGGGCAGGAGATCGCCTGTATTTGTGTTTGGGTTCTGAGGTATTGAAGGCTGAACACCTTCCACAGCGAGCCAGTGTGCGGTGAAGGTGATCTCTCGTGGGACCTTGGGCAGTGGGGCGTTGATGAGCTTCTCGAAATCGACTTCTTCATCCTCGACATAGTACAAAGGCTGGCCAGGGCCCAGCGAAGCCTCGCCGAAGCGCAGCGGACGGGTAGATTCGTAGCCGTAGAGAGGCTCCACATTGAGCACCTTCAAGGCATTGGATATGTCCTGTGTGCTCAGTGTCGTCCGCTTCCCGTGTCGCATGAACTTGAGAGCTTCCTCCAGCACTTGGGCCAAACGGAAGTCAACGTCGCGTGCCAGCTCTTCTACCACATTGTCGGCGAGTGAGGCGATGCCCACAGATTCGGCCACGTCTCGTACATTGTCGGGGTTCCAGACCGAAGACATGTTGGCGGGGCGCAGTGCGATGTGCGAGTTGTGAGCTGGAGCCGGTGGGGCTGTCGGACTGCGGGCGCGCTGAGTCTAATGAAGCGGAATGGGCGAAGAGGGCCGATGGGAGGGCGGCGAGGGTATCACCAGCCGGGTGACGCAGAGACGGCGGATGTGATTGCTAGCCCTACGACCCAGTGAAGCACATTCCGGACGCGCGCATGCGAAAGTGGTGGGCCGTGTCGCGGAGTTGCGGCGTCTGTCGCTTTTGGCTCTGGCGTATGTGTTGGATGGGCTGGTACAGGCAACAGCTGGTGAATTACACGGCCGAGGCAGGGCTGGATTGGCGCAGACAGAGTGAGTCTACCACAAAGGAAGTCGCGGTGCTCCAGGGCTCGCGTTGGGCTTGGCGCGCGCGCCATCGTGTCCGAGCGCGCCTGCCTGTCCTGTCGTCACCCTCAGCTTGACCTTCACACCGATAGACGACTCCTCCGAAGCTGCGTCTATCCACGTTGGCACCTCTTGATCAACACTCTGCAGTGAGGCCATGTTGACTGGCCAGCCGTTTGCTTCACTCGAGAGAATAGACAAACATCGCAGCCTCGTCACCTGCTGATCGTTTCCAAGTCCAAGCACGGGAAAGCACGCAGCTCTACGAACCAACAGAAGTTTGTGGTAGCTGAAATACGAGGCGTCTAGTCAAGCCTTGGGTCGAATGGAAGTACTCGCGTATCCATGCTGACATCATGGCTTGTAGACCGCCATTTCAAAACCCTACTTCTTGAGGGAAAGCAATCTCCCCCAGGCACCTTGCACGACAACTCGTGCGGCTCCGGATCGTCTTCCCCGACGCCTGATGAATCGCAAGCAGTACTCAACCCTGTCCTCCGTTGTCACACAATCAGTCGACTGTCGCTCGCCGTGCTCTCACCCGTCGACACGTTGTTTACCGCCGTTCAAAATGTCGTCTTCCACACTCAACTCCTGCCTTCTCCTGCTCGGCCAAGGCACTCATTCGCCGCTTGTACTCCCTGTCTACCAAACCAGCATCTCATTCCAGCATGACAATTTAGACTTAGTCCTTCCTGACGCCACCCGTCTATCCGCGGACGGGCCGCTGCGATTCTGATTGTCTTTTGCCTGGCTCTTTGGATCTGCCAACTAGACATTCGCCCCTGTAAGCCACTAGACGAGCCCTTGTGGTGTTCGATTGGGAGTGTAGCAAAACCTTGTCCTAGACTATTTAATGTCGAGACTGCGTTAGTGTTTTGTCCTCCACAAAAGTCCTCACTCTCTCAGCAAGATAGTTCCTAGACTACCATATTTGAATCCTCACTCTTCATTCCGCGATACTACTACTTTTCAACCATCTTCCAAAATCACCACACAGCTACCATGGGCATCACTATGGGTCCCTCGGTGGATAACGTCTTCGAGCTTGTCAATTCACGCTCTGCTCATGTCCTAACAAGCTCATCCATGTCTACACCGACGCAAGATCGCTCAAGAGACGATCCGCCTTCTCCTCCACCCCAGCCCCCACCTAGTCCAGCGCACTGGAACCGTCTCGTCTCGGTAAGCTAGATTGGAAGACATGCCAGATATAGCTAACCATATGCCAAGCTCGAATTCCTTGCTCCACTAGAGATCTGAATTCTGGGGTAGTGGGGTAGTTCTGGTGAGTACATAACTCTACACGGAATTCGGCAGCGTCTGACCTCACTTGAACAGAAGCAAGACTTGCTTTTATCTGTACAGCACCCACCATGTTACATTGGATCGGCACGATCTCAGCTTGTCTTCTCCAAGTGTTCTGGTCTTGCATACCCATGTATGTGTTCAGTCGAGCATTTCTCTTCACATGCGATGGGCTTCGAAGCAAACAAGGTGCCGTAGCTTATTCGAATGTATGCCGGTCAGTCTACGCAGCGTCATGGAGGCGTTCGGATGCTCCTTGCAGGCTGCTGCATGTCTTGAAACAATATGCATGTATAGGCGCAAAACTCTCGACTTGTATGGCCATTGCAGATACAGTCCTCACGAGCCTGTTTCCTCCGAAGCAAAAGTCACGCTAGTTTTGATAAGTCTTTGTTTTTCTGCACACAGCTGTGATGTACCACTTGCCGTTATGTTGGCAAGACACTGCAACGACTACAGCGCAGTGTGTTACAGTCGAGATACAATGGACTACACGCGTACATTCAGGCTCCACCCAGTCTACTGTCCAGACTTAGGTCCCGATAGCGACAACCGCGGGTTATTGACGCTGGTGCTACCTTCCGGCTCGCTTACCCCCCCATTAGCGCGCACTAGTCGCGTCAGGCTTTTCGGCTTTTCCAAATCCGCAGAATCCAGACCTCTGGCTCCACTCGACTCCAGTTGACAGTACGTACATCACATCCGACGTACGTGTTTACATTCAACAGTTTATCAATCTTACATCTCTTTCACCGGTTGCGTCAGACACCAACCGAGGCAGAAGAAACATCAGTCATTCGAGCTAAACCGCAAAGCTCTTCTGGGACTTGGCACAGGATCGACAGTCCCACTATCCGCCACCAGCGGCTACCCACTTACAGGCACCTCCCACTATCTAGACGATTGAGGGGACAAACATTCTTTCACCACCCCTCTGACCACCGCCCATCCTTCACCCTCTTGCAGACCACCCAGCATGGCTGCCAACAACCAGGGTACTGAGGAGCAAATCCTCCAATGGTACTCAAATCTCTACAGCCGCCGGGTCGACCTGGTTGGCGACTTCGCAGGTAGTGAGCGGTTCCTCGTACACGGCGAATCACTCTTGCTTCAGTGCTTTAGCGACCCACACATCGATTTCGATCCTGGATATCAATTACTGCACGCGTCATACGCTGTTGAGAAGTTCCTACAAGGCCTCGTTTCTCGAGCCTGCAATTTCCACATTGCTTTCTTCGACGAACATCAAGATCTTTGCGTACCCCAGGATGCATCACCAGAAATCAGCGAAAAATACCTGCTTGCACGAGCAGCTATCATTCGTCATCTCAAGGTCAATTTACCAGACGTTGTCCCGGAGATTGAGATCAATGCCTTCCCATCAATATCCTCAGAAGCGTTTGCGGAGTACCTACGTGCCACAGACATTTACTTCGTCTTGTGTCATGATGGAGCCTCGTTCACTGATATCCGTAAGAGATTGATCCTACAAAAGGACCTCGACTCACTCCAGGGCGAAGACCGCGATAAGCAGCAGCGGCAGCAAGATTACAAGACTTCTTTCCGCACATTCATATATAGCATGATGCAGCGGGGGTACAGTGCTGCGCTGGTAAACGGATTGGAGTGGGCCGACACCAAGGTCATTACCACTGTTCTCGAGCATGCTCGTTCAATGACACTTGATGTCTCATCAGCCGTAAGTGGCCTGCAGCACTATTAATATCCTCCGGATGGTGCTACCTTTGCCATGTTTCTTTGCTGATCATCTCGTTTAGGAACCTCATACAAACAAAAGATTGACTGATGTTGTCGATCTATCGCATATGCGCGGCTTCTTGCAGACCATCAGGACGTCTTGCGATCAACTTCTGACTGAGCGCGAATACTTGACAGTATTAGTAGCTTCGAAACTGGCAGCTTCGAATGCTGACCTCTCGTCCGTGTTGTTGCAACATGCAGCATTACTTTCAGAGCTTCCTCTGTCTGATCGTATCATCAAGCATTGTGAAATTCCGGATGAGGTCAAGTCTTTCATCTTGGATTTCTGTTGCGAGGCACGCAAGTTCATTGGTAGTCCGGCATGGGCAGAGGCCTTCAAGGGCCATCCAGATTGCGATCTTGCAGATCTCATCGACGGACGGCTTCTCGCGTCATGTGCCCGCAACCCCACAACGGAACCTAGCGAACACCTACAGACCCTGCTCAAGGCCACAGCAGCTTTGGATGCTCATGATCTCCCGTCTCAGCCAAAAGCTTCTTCAGCAGCGAGTGACGACTCTACTGCAGCCAACGGTAATGATGAGGAGGTTTCTGCGTACAAGGTTCTACCTTTCTCGAATAGCATTTTCGACCCACATTTGTCCCCAATCAAACTAGACGTATCGAAGTCAGGGGGTAAGGCAGATACCACTACTGCTAACATCTTCCGCGAGGTCACGCATTGGCATAATCAGAGGTCACTAAACCAAAAAGCAAAGGTTGTCGTCGAAAAAGACCCCAAGATAGCAAAGAAGGCTCTCCGGCGAAACCAGTTCTTCATGGCTGAGATGACGTCGTATGCCGCCAGCCTGACGAATGCTGTTGGCAAAGTACTAGATCCAGAGACTATTACGCTCGGCGACAAGTCAAAAGCAGGCCAGGTGAAATCCATGACGCCAACCCAGGCAGTCGAGAACAAGCGGCCGAAGCAAGTGTCAAGACAGAGCACCAAGAATATCAACGCATCGAAAGAGGCAATGCTTGCCAACATCGCCGCCAGCTCCAAGCGCAAAGACGAAGAGAATGCGAAACAATGGTATCAAGCCTGGACAGTCTCATGCGCAGGCCTCGAGAAGCAAGTTGACTTGGCCTCAAGATACAACAAAGCCAGGCAATATCTGGCCGACCGCAATGAGGCTCAGCGTCAAGTAATTGGTCCAGACGTTCGCATGTACATGCTGAACGTTCTTTTGGAAATGTGGGTACGTTTCTGCCGCGACGGTGCCAAAGAGAAGGGCCTATACGTCGCCGCACTTTTGTTCGACACTGCACGAACTCTTTGCAATTACCCAACTGTGAGCAAGACGATTGCGAAGTGCCTTTCTATAACAGTGGAGCGCTTGAAGCTACCAACGCTACAAGTTCCAGCAGAACAAGGCGACCGGAAGTTGCCTTTCAAGTTTGTCTTGGACGAGACTGTCGTATCGGACTTGGCCTTGACCCTTTCCCCAGAGGAGTTCCAGCTTCTTCATTGTGGACCATACTTCGACCGTACAATCGATTCGGCACCAGACTCCCGTGTACCCTTCGAGCCAGATGCGTGGCAGCGACGTGTGCTAGACGAGATTGATGCACGTCGCAGTCTGCTTGTCATCGCGCCGACTTCAGCGGGTAAGACATTCATCTCGTTCTACGCCATGAAGCAAGTCTTGGAAGCAAACAACGACGACGTTCTTGTATACGTTGCTCCCACCAAAGCTTTAGTCAACCAAATCGCTGCAGAGATCCAGGCACGATTTTCAAAGAACTACAAGTACAGTCAGTCCGTATGGGGTATTCATACTCGAGACTACAGGATTAACAACCCCACTGGATGCCAAATTCTTGTGACAGTTCCCCATATCTTGCAAATCATGTTGCTGGCCCCCAGTAACGCAAAAAGTTGGTCCGAGAGGGTCAAGTGGATTATCTTCGATGAAGTCCACTGCATTGGTCAGGCCGAAGACGGTCTAATCTGGGAGCAACTGCTCCTCATGGCTCCTTGCCCTATCATCGCTCTCTCTGCTACTATCGGCAATGCAGAATCTTTCAACGACTGGCTGTCAGCCACACAAAAAGCTGCTGGGAACGAATTAGTCATGGTGCAACATCCGCACAGGTATTCTGACCTTCGAAAGTTTGTGTATACCCCACCCGCCAAACGCAATGCAGCCAGCTACCTGCCGCTTCCGAGCAACCGTTCGTTTGCGCAGCTTGGTTTAGACGAGCACACGGACTTCGCCTTCCTTCATCCTGTAGCTAGTTTGATCAATCGCACTCGCGGACTGCCCAGCGATCTGTCTCTCGAAGCACGAGACTGCCTTACCCTATGGCAGAGCATGACCAAATACCAGACAGCCGAATACCCGGTGGATAAGTCTCTGGATCCCTCCTCAATCCTGCCTACAGTTATCAAGAAGGCGGACATAATCAACTGGCAGGCTGGCCTCAAGAAGCTTCTAACTGCTTGGATGGCGGACGATAAGTCGCCTTTTGCTGAAGTCCGCAAGGATCTCAGCAAGTCATTGTCTGGCTTACAAGAGCATCAGACGAGTGAGGATGCCACAGACGACGGTGCAGACAACGAGGGGCAGCTGGATGAACTGGGCATGGAAATCAGTCACGATATCTCCAGCATACTTCCTCTACTCGCTGATCTACAACAGCAAGATGCACTTCCGGGTATTATCTTCAACTATGATCGTGCGATCTGCGAGAAAATGTGCCAAACGCTTATGAAGCAACTCGTAGATGCTGAGGTCGCCTGGAAGGAGACAAGCCCAAAATGGAAGATCAAGTTGCAACAGTGGGAGGACTGGAAAAAAGAGGTCGCGAGACGAGAGAAGCAAGGTCTTCGTGGAGACGCCTCCAAGGGCATGACCAAGCAGGATCAAATGAAAGAGGCTGCCAACGTTGAAGTTAGCGCCTTTGCCTCATTTGATCCAAACAAACCTCTCGATGGATTCCACTTCGCAGACCACAAGAAGCTGTCACAAGAAGAGTTCGCTGTACACGCAAAAGAGCTACGTTACCGCGGAGTTGAGGAATGGCTTATCGATGGTCTCATGCGTGGTATCGGCGTTCATCATGCTGGTATGAACCGAAAGTACAGGTATTGCGTCGAGATGTTGTTCCGAAAGGGATATCTGCGTGTGGTGATTGCGACCGGCACACTTGCGCTCGGTATCAACATGCCTTGTAAGACTGTGGTCTTTTCGGGAGACTCGGTCTTCTTGACAGCACTAAACTTCCGTCAGGCCGCTGGTCGTGCCGGTCGTCGAGGCTTCGACATGCTTGGAAATGTCGTTTTCCATGGAGTGTCTCTGAGCAAGATACATAAACTCATCAGCTCCAGGCTACCTGATCTCAACGGACACTTCCCCATCACGACAACTCTGGTACTGCGTTTGTTTACACTGCTGAACTCGTCTGAGAATGCGCCATTCGCCGTCCGCTGCGTCAATTCCTTGCTCTCACAGCCACGACTCTACCTTGGCGGAGAGGACGCGAAGATGACAGTCCTACATCATTTGCGCTTCTCGATCGAATATCTTCGGAGACAACATCTTTTGGACGCTCAGGGTGTACCTTTGAATTTCGCAGGTGCCGTGTCGCATCTCTACTTCACAGAAAATTCATCCTTTGCTTTCCACGCGCTGCTAAAGGACGGATACTTCCACGAGCTTTGCGCCAAGATCGACACGAACAAAGAGGCAGTTCTACGCGAACTCATGCTCACGATGTCGCACCTGTTCGGTCGGCGTCATTGTCGACAGGCTGATGAAGAGTACGTACGCGAGATAGTCAAGAAGAGCCCCTCGCTTGTGTTTCTACCTTCAATGCCAGAGCACGCTGCGAACGTATTGCGCCGTCACAACAAGACTACCCTCGATATCTTCACAGCTTACGTGCGCACTTTTGTCGACCAACATGTTCAAGAGCCGGACAACACTCTGCCATTGACAGATGTTACGGTTGGTGGCGATGCCTCCTCAAAATCTGAGAAGGCTCGGGACCAGAACGTGAAGGCTCGTTCTACATTCGTTGCTCTTTCAGGGTACGACGACAAGTTCGAGTCTATCCACGATCTGTGCAGTACTAGTCGTTCTGGTGTCTTCCTCGAAGAAGCTGTCGTACCCCACGTCGGTCTTTACCCTGAAGACTCTGATCTCCCGTTGAATGCTTATCTGTACGATTTCTTCCAGCACGGTGACGTCAACGCTCTTATCACGGCCAACAAGATTCGTCGTGGAGATGTATGGTTCGTCTTGAACGATCTGAGTATGACACTCGCTACTATCACTACGAGTTTGTCGAGCTTCTTGGGTCTGGCAACAGAGTCTGATCTCGACTTCATCGACGTCCGTGGTGGTGGTGACGATGAAGAAGAGAACAGGGAAGACAAGATGTTACCAAGCGACACCGCGACAGAGGCCAGCGCAGCCACGACTGCTTCGTCAAACAAGGGTCCCGTCAAGCAGGAGTTGACGATCCAGCCCAAGAAGAAGCTCAAGAAGAAGGTCGAAGAGTCGTGGGAGGATGAGATGGGTAGCTCCTCCAGCGAATCTGAAGTCGAAGAGAGTTGGGACGCTGAGGATGATGACGAGAAGAAGGAGCCGCCGGCTTGGGAAGAAGGCGAGGGCTTGTTGAACGTACTAAAGGCGTTCAAAGCTCTAAAGGAAGACTTTGACACCAAGTTCAGAGCTATGTGGGCATAAGTTTACGAGATCATTGTATCGCTTTCATTCTGTCAATACTCTGAACATTAGCGTTCTTGCTAAAATAGACGTTGGGGTAGAAAGTCTACTAAAAATGTCATCTTGTCAGTACATCACGAAGCTCCATCTCATTGTTTCATCTCGTTGCATTTCATCGTGTTAACCGACAACCTCTCATGGTGGCCGAGGTGGCACAAACTTGACTATGTTCTTCAGCAAATTCGTCCCCGTCTCCTGACAACTCAAAACAAATGTCTCTATTCCTGGAATACGTTCCAGATCTTCTTGTGTCTGCGGTCTTGCTCTAATAATCATGTCTAGTGTGTGCTCCGTTACGATAGGTGGGGCGATAGCAGGTCTTGCAGGCAGCTTTCGCATGACAAGTTTGCTCAAGGCCAGGAGCTTTGAACGAGCGATCCGTGAGCCAGGAGATAGTGATGTGCTTCGCGTTGAAGATGCCTCTGTGCTCGCAATGGCAAGGTCGTGGTTTAACGTCGGTTGCTGTGTTAGATCCACTTTCGGCTTTGAAGGTGTTTGCAACGGCTGAGGTGTCTGCTCCATCTCGCATTTTACTGGACTCTCGGCGCGTTTGCGTTTTGTACCGGAGCTTATGCGCCTTCGGCTCGGACTGCCAAAGTCAAGAGATGGAAGTGTATCATCCGAGTCGTAGGATGATGTGCTTTCATCGGATCTGTTGCCGTTGTCTACGTCAATTTTTGTTTCTGCCATTCCAAAAGATAGGCCAGTATGTAGTTGAGGTGATCTAGTAAGTGCAGTGTCGAAAGCTGGAGAGGAATCTGAAGAGCTATCACTGATATCTTTCCGTCGTGTCTTCGAGCGGTGAGGTGTTTGTGGCGGCTGGTTTTCAGACTTGGACGGTAACGGCTTTGCGACTTTGGCTGATGGCTCGATACCGTTTGTCGCTAGGAATAGTGAGATGACCTCAAGCCATTCATCGCCGAACTTTGCCTGTTGGATCTTTCCAATGCCCTTTATTGCAAGCAAGCCTTCGGTATCGCAAGGCTGTGCACGCGCAATTGATTCCAGTAAAGTATCAGGGATGATGCGGTGTGGCTGCAACTTTCTAGTTTCGGCTAGAGACGCCCGACGAGTAGCTAATTCTTCGTATAATGCTTGGGTAAGATCATTCAGAGGCTGTGCACTGCTTTTTGTAGTCTTTATCTTCTTCGGTGCTTTAGAGCTGGTCCCTGATACACCGCTCTTTGCAGGTTTGACGCCGAAGAAAGCTTCTGTTGTGATAGTTGTACCGTCTCCGACATCCAAAATTATTGGGTCGTCTCTCGATGCCTTGCCACTCGGATATTTCTCCGCATGGATCGGTAATGGCGGCGTGGGTTTCATGGCAAGCCTCTTTGCATTCATACACTTGTAGAGCATGAAGCCTGCGTATGCATCGCCAGCTGCATAGTTGATCTGATCCGTTGACAGTGGTTTGCTCCAATTACTCGTGCGCACATCGCCCTTGTACAGGGGCAGACCGAGCTGCTCTTCAACTTGGTGCGCTAAGCTCACGAGCTTGACAGATACCAACTCTGGTTTCCTAGGGCCAAACTTCACAAGACGGTATAGATGGCTCGATTCGACAGCACCTTTTGGTTTGAGTCCAAAGAAACGGCTCAACCTCGAGAAGTCCGCCTTCAACACATTTACCTAAAGGTACGTGTATGAAGTCAGTGTATGTCTCATATGCAGTTCGTACAGGGATGTTTCTTACACCAACTTTGCCAATCTTAGGGTCCTCGAGAATGCGTTTCAGTGTCGGCGCGATAATCTCTTCACTCGTCTTCCCTGGATGCAAGCCAATATGAAATAGCGCGATTTTGTCCTCGGACGCAATTTGAATCAATCCAATCTTGTTTTGCAAATTATCTTTTTTCCAATCATTCCATGGCCACTCCATATCAAATCCGATGACTGGCTCATCAAGAAATTGCTTCGCGTATGTTTCGGATTGCGCTTTGGTCTTGCTATACAGGATCTCGACTTCTTTGCCTCCAGGGCCTCGGTAGAGACGATGACTCCACCATGGTTTGGGTGCAGCTTGAGTAGACGAGAAGCCATAAGACTGAAGCGACGAGGCTTTGGGCTGTTGTGGTTGTATGCGGTACGAGAGTGGCCAATGCACCTTTGGTGTTTCGATGGTGACCTCTGAAGGTGCAACATCATGGGTGGAGCTTGCCATTAAAGATATGCAGTTCCAATAAAGATACCGTCTAGACCTAATCATCGACAAGCAATGGTTGAAGGCATATGAGATGGTTAATCGCGCGGCATCCATGCAATGTGGCGATCGACGCTAATGAGCTGGAGCACAGACTGTCTTTTACGCGTGTTCACGTGTGACGTTTCTAGCGTGTTTTGCAAGCCCCCCACTGCTTCTGCTACATGAGGCTGCTTCTTCTCCACTCATCAATGCTACGTCACATCCTGTCTGGGATCGCCGTTGTGATCCACTGAATCTGAGAAGCTTCCCAGACACGTCTACGTCCGTCTCTTCGCTCCATTCTCGGAGGTTGACACCTTGGCGAAACGTTGACAGCTCTGCAGAAGAATCTCACTGCGTCACCATCACCGGTACTCTGTCCGTGACTCGACGCGCGATCTAAGGCTACAGATTGCTCTCACGACGTGCACCCTTGATCCTGATTCGCTATAATCCTGGACGGTACTCGCACAAGGCGCTATTCGGACGCGCTTTGGAGAGCCGACGACAATCGACGAAGAGAGGTCATGGCACACGATTGACATATACTGATCAGACTGAGGGCGTTCTTGCCGCTACTCTCGTTGCCTTCAGGCGTAATTCCCAATAATAAAAAATTTAGGTGGTAAACCAAAACTTACAATCCTGGTTTTGCTTTAGGCATTGTGGACATGGTTGTTGCCAAGCTGTGACAGCTGAGCTCTCACGCAGTACCCGTTTCATACACATGCGGAACACCCTACGTAAGCACGATATCTACAATCAGCGCTAAGCGGACTGCGACAGACTATGCTACGGCTTCAGGAACTATGCCTGGGAGACGCGTACTTCAATGAACATGGTATATGTAGGCTGATAGCCTCACTTCGGGCCGCCTCTATAATCCACTGTTATCCCCATTTTACATTCATACCTCTGCGAATCCTCGTTTGTAAACAATAATCACCCGTCATGTATTTCTCCACATCAGTACTCGTAGCCGGATTGGTCAGTCTTGCGCAGGCGCAGGTCCCATCTGGCTTTACGCCACAGGCCGCCACCAAACTCGAAGTCATCTTCAACTCGACTATGGTCAACACGGCAGGACAGCAATTAGCAAAAGCTTGTGAGTTTCGAGCTGAGTCGATTAGTCAAGACATCATTCCTGACCTGTTTAGCTGTCGCAACACAACCACAACTTGCATTATCCAGCGCTATGATCGACTCAAGCCAAACATACATGTTTGTGATGCTCGACCTTGATGTCCCACCAGCGAACGGGAGCACCGAGCGACGTGTGTTATTACACTGCATGAACACCGGATTCAAGGCAACAAAGCAACAACTTATGGGCGCTGCCACTCTGCTCGCGTCATCAGAAAAGGGCCCAGCAGCGTATATTCCTCCAGGTCCTCCAGCGACCGATACAGTCGCGCATCGATACGTACAGCTGCTTTTCCAGCAACCCGCCAGTCTCAACATTCAGGCGTCGGCATTCGCTGGAGCACAAGCTCGGATAGGTTTCGATATCGAATCGTTTATGTCGAAGAATGGCGTGAGCGCGCCAGTCGCAGGAAACTTCTTTCGTGTAGACGGAAGGATAGCTGCAACCGCCAGTGGAACTGCTGGTGCTGCGGGCGCGTCGGGCACTGGTGCCATGCCAACCGGTACACCACAGCCTTTCACTGGTGCAGCTGGCGAAGTCAGTGTACCATACGGGACGGCTGGTCTGCTTAGTGGCATAGCTCTTTTCGTGCTGCTAGTGCTATAGAAGGCCATCCTGTAAATTTAATGAATGTTACGACTTGATGAACCAGATTTCAATGACAAGATCACGTGTATTCATGAGGTGACGGTACCAAGCATACGGCTACACTTCAGCACCTTTGTTATCGCTGAAATACGCGAAACCTAGAGCCCAACGAGATTCAATGCCGGCGACTGCAGCGAAAGTGACTATGCTATTGGGCTTTGTATACGATACATGAAGCGCGTTTGCGAAGATCTGACTCTAACTCACCGCCTTATCGGCGTTCACAATATTGTAGTACTTGTTACCACTTCTGATGCGCAAACGCTTACCGTACTTGATCATGACAAGAAAGACAGCGGACGCAGCCATGCCAACGAAAGCTGCAGAGATGCTGAAGATAGGTTTATGACGTCAGTGTATGTCTTACATGCAGTTTATAGAGAGACACTTACAAGCAGTTCTGATACCCGAGGTTTGTCAGCCATGGAGTAATACTGTCTCTCGTTAGCTTCGAACCTTCAGATGCACTGGAGAACTTGCCCGTAACTTATGGCGAAGGACATGGTGTTGCGAATCAAGATGACCGTCACAATCGCATCGCCACTGATATCGTGATAACTATCGATCATGTAGTTCACACTGATTGTGACGCCGACAGAAGAGGTGAACGCTACACATCCCATGGCAAAGACGAGTCCGAACCAGTGTACGCCATGCGCAGCGCCAACACCCCAGAGTATCAAGAATGCCGGAACCATTACTAGGCACACTGCGAAAGGCCATAGACGGTGCTCCGCTTCCATGACACCATTGTTCCTACGCGCTAATTTGATCGTTAGCCAGTCGCTGAAGCGCCCAGAGAACAGCGCCCCGGCAATGACCCCGATGCAACAAGACACATAACTTAGACCGACCATGGAGGGCTTGAAGTTGTATCCTGGCCCACCAAGAATGATGGAAGCAGTAGCGTTCAAGACGTTAAACCAAATGAGGTATGAACCGTAGCTGAAACCTGAGTAGAAGATAACAGGCCAGCTAATGTATATCAGACTACGCTTCGCACGCTCGAAGACGTTCGCTCCTGGAGATGTCTGCCATAGAGATAGCTTTTGAGCAAAAGTCTTGGATGACACTCGCATGTCATCGCTCATAGTGGACGGCGACGTCGTTATGTCGGCTTTCTCCTGGTCCAAAACCTTGGATGGTTCCATCTCTGGAGAGTCTCTAGCGACAGGTATCCCCTCGATCTTGCGCGTATAGTTTGTCTCTTCCATGCAAAAAAACAAGAGGACTAACGTCACGGCGAGGAAGATTGCCGGCCAATAGAACACCCATTGCCAGCCTTGACCTTCTGCGATGAAGCCGGAGATGATAGGGGCAAAGTAGTTGCTTCCCGCTAGGGAGAAAGCGTAGAAGCCCATGTATTTTCCTCGCTGGTGGGTGAAGTATACGTCGGTTACTGAGATTTCGGGAAGAGCTTCTACTGGTGCGACAAAGAATCCCATAACGATGCATCTGGCTATCCATTCGCCATTGCTTTTGACATACGCACTATGGGGGTCAGCTTATGAATAAGTTCTTGCACAGACATGAGATATACCTCCAAATACTACATCCAATGGCTCCAACGACTGATATCAGGAACGTAAGACGTTTCCCATATCGCAGCGCAAAAGGTTGCCAAAAGAGCAGTCCCCAACCAAGAAAGAGGAACATGTATCCAGTCCCTTCGTTCAAAGTTGATACGGAGACGCCTGATGCTTCAGATAATGGTACTAACACCGAGTATACAGTAGACACCGCGATGCCTGTCATCCACGTATACCTTCGCATCGAATCAGCCGTATCCTCGATAAGTGGCAGTGAACACTTACAAATTGGTACATAATGAAGATGTGAGCTTGCGGCGTGGAGACCAGTTGAGCGGATCATCAGGGTCACTCGAGGGCGCTGGATCGAGGATGATGTCTCCGTTGCCAGCATGACGAGCGTGTATACTATGGTCTAAATCGACCAAATGTACAGTACCTGGCACAGAAGCCATTTCGGTCGAATCTGCCACAATTGCCATCGCGGTGGCTACGCACTGGGTTTCGGCGATGGATAAGAATGTGTCACGAATGATAAAGTCCCAAAAAACGGCTGTCTCAAAAGCGTAGTACAAGAGTGGGGTGGCATGCATATAGACCCAGGAGCGGTAGGCTTACCAGGTACCCTGCGTCACTCCAACTTGGAGCTCGTTCTATAAAGCCCACATCTTCCTTATCATCATCCTTCCCGTCTGCAGCTCATTCTGTTCAAGATGTTCGATAGTGAACCATGGAGATGGCCACTCAAGAGTCCCGCTCAGAGCTGCCTATCTCCGTGTCTACGTAGATACCCATCGGCTTCCGCAATACAGCAAGTCCACGCGAAGGGACCAGGAGCCGTGACACCAAATCCAACGCGGGGAAACGTTCGCTTGATAGGCAGTGGAGTCGGTGCGCTCATTGGGAGATAACCGGATAATTGGAGTCGTTGGAGCTGGATGCAGTAAAGGGTCGTCCGCTAGCTGCAGCGGGACCATGTGGGATGACGCGCTAAGGGCCGCTGGTCGGATTGGTTCCGCACTTCCAACACCAACCACCCCCTTATCAGCTTTATCGCACTACGATTGCTGCTGTCTATTGTCGTTCCGGAATCTTTCCGAGGACGGAGTCAACGGGATGCTACGTGGAGTTATAAGAAAGAACGTTTCTGTCTTAGGCTTGGCCCCAACAATGACGACAACGGCGCATGTGCAGATAAGACCGCCGTGATGGTTCCCAAAACTGACGACGTTGGATCACATCTGCGTTTGATATCCCTATCATTCTCCCAACATCATAATGGCAATTCATCCCTCCGAACTAGCTATAGTTCAGCCTAAGGCTGTTCCCCAAGGTACACCAGATTACGAAAAGAAACGAGCATCAATCCTCGAAGCCTTTGCGGCAAAAGTGCCTCCTGAACTACGCCTATCTCCAAAAATTACTGCCGATCCACCAAAGGATGTGTCTCAAATACCAATCACCTGCGGCATACTTACACCCGCCGAGATCAACATCACTGAAAAGTACGATGCAGTAGGCCTTGCTGAAGCCATCGCCGCACGCAAGTTGTCAGCAGTCGAAGTAGCCACCGCATTTTCAAAACGTGCTATTATCGCACACCAAATGACATGCTGCTTGACTCAATGGTTCATGGATGATGCGATCAAGAGGGCACAAGAGCTGGACAAATATCTAGAAAAGAACGGAAAGACGATCGGCCCTCTTCATGGAGTTCCTATCAGCATCAAGGAACATATGCCCATTGCTGGAACCTACTCATCACAAGGCTCCTTGGCGAGTACCGTCTTCGACGAGAAAGACTGTCTGTTGGTGTCAATGCTAAGAAGTATGGGCGCGGTATTCTACTGCAAGACCAACCAGCCTCAAACAATCATGCATCTGGAAACGACATCTCATTACGGTCGATCGCTGTGCCCTTTCAACATTGATCTCAGCGCAGGCGGCTCATCTGGTGGCGAGGCTGCACTTGTTGCAATGAAAGGCTCAGTTCTTGGTGTAGGCACGGACATTGGCGGCAGTATTAGAGGCCCTGCCGCTTTCTGCGGCATCTATGGTTACAAGTCGACATCTTACATGTTGCCGATGAAAAACTTCCTCGGACATGCATTTTCTGCAGAACTCAATATTTTGTGTAGGCAAGTACGCCTGTACGAATTGCACGTAAAACATACACTGACTTCATTTACCTACATATAGCACTGGTCCGTTTTGCCGGAGTTTGCGAGACATGGACCTTTTCATGACGACTGTTTTGGGTCAGAAACCGTACTTGATGGATCCCAAGGTAGTGCCACTTCCTTGGACGGGACTAACGACTAAGACGAGGAAACCATTGAGAATCGGTGTCATCGAGAACGACGGCTTCGTTGATCCTCAGCCACCAGTAAAGCGCGCTATAACATGGGCTCGTGAGCGTCTCTCCGACCCTCAACATTCGGATGTTGTCCAAGTGAAGCCATTCAAGCCCTATAAGGCACAAGAAGCATGGAAACAGATCCGACGTATGTACTGGCCAGGTGGCGGCAAACTAGCGAAAGAGGATATCATGTCAACAGGCGAGCCAGTCCTACCGCTGAGCGACTGGATATGGAAAGACGCCGAACCTCACGGCATGCTGCATGCGGAAGAGGTCAACGAGTTACGTGCCGCTCGCGACAAGTTCCGTTATGAGTTTGCCGACAGCTGGAATGAGCAAGAAGTCGACATTGTCATCGGCCCTGCGTTTGTTGGGCCTGCCTCTGCGCATGACACAGCGTTCTACTGGACATATACAAGCTTGTACAACTTTGTCGATTACCCCGGGGTTGTTGTACCCACACCAATCAAAGCTAAGAACAAGGAGAATTATGCCGCGGACTACAAACCATTAAGCGATGAGTGCAGGCATACCAAAGAGCTGTGGGAGAGATCAGATTTTGAGGGGGCGCCAATCAATCTCCAGGTCAACGCCAGAAGGTACCACGACAACGACTTGTTTGGGGCACTGGCGGTCTTGAAGGATATCTTAGATCTTCCTTAATATGCGGAGCGTGGTCCTGTTTTCTAATCATATCGCACTTCTGTAGAATATACGCGTATATACGCTTTGTACCCAGTTTTATTGCTGCTGCCGTGAGAAGCTGCCATGCTGTATAGTGCAAAGTTTTGAATCACGATCGACGCTAGTTCGTGGTAATGCAAGTCTCTGGAGTGCTTCGACAAGCGGGTCTGTTAGATATTGGTAGAGATGCAGAATGAGATGCAAGGGTTGGCGATGGTGAATGAGGAATGCGGTACAGGAACAGCCGAGGTGGCCGGAAACAGACATAATAGTGCAGGGATGTCGCGTTGGAAGAAGCATGACGGAATGAGCCGTTATTCCCACATCAATCATCAACACTCGTGAGCGCATTGCCCACCTCCCAACATAAACGAATCGCTCCGCTGCGCGATGTCGCCCCCATAACGCGTATCTGCGCTCTCACTGCGCACCATGGATCAAGCCCGTATTTCGGAGCTCAGTCCAGAGCTGCCCGCGATCGAATCGAAGCATTTCCGAGCGACAGCAACGTTAATATGGCCGTATTCGTCATCAGCGCGACAGTTTGCCTTGTTGCTTGCTGAGCCCGATGTCCGATTACGACGCAAGAACGGACAGGTCAGAGCGCGCTTCTCCGGAGCCAGCGCGAAGGCTGTTGCGACAACAGGTGTGGGGATTGGAGATGAGGTGGTGCTGAGCCTACGAGGCGCTGAGTTCGTCAAGGAAGGCGCCGTTAGCACCCCAGGCAGGAGCATCGAATGGGAGCTATCATACGTACACACAGTCACGATGCGCGTCTACCGCAACGGAGTCGAAACTGCAAGCCTCGAACTCGTCGATGTCGCGCCTTCGCCAGTCTCCGCATCGCCTGCTCGCCGGCCGTCTACAGCCAGTCCAGCGTCCGCGCTTCAATTCTCCTCTCCTGCCTTTCTCAAGCGGGCGCGACTATCTGACGGTCCGTCCTTCCAAGCGCCCTATGATCCTCTGGCGGATGAGACGGAAGAGGGCCATGACAAGAAGCGACGTAGGAAATCGTACCGGGATTGGAAGGCCTGGACATACAGCGCAAGGACACCGTCGCCAGAGAAGGAAGACGTGACTATGGAAGATGAGCTCGAGTCGGCCGAAGCGTCACCCAGTCGGACAGGGCGGCTTCCTCGCACTCCTGTCTCGCCTCAACAACCAGAGATGCTGTCGGTAGCAGCCGGACCCTTACAGGCACACCAAGATGAACCGACCGAACCTGATACCCCAACCGACACCGACAACTACGACCTCTACGCTGGGCCCAACGAGCATTCAGCGTCAGCTGCACAATATGCTTTTGGAGGCGACACTGAGATTGACACCGAAGTCAATACCGAAGAAGAAAGCGCTACGCATGGCGAGCTCAATGCACATGATACGAGCGCCACAGAAGCAGACACCGACGAGCTAAAACATGTACAACTGGAGCGCGTCGAAGAAAACGTAGTCGAGATCGGGGCGGTTGCAAGTGCACACAGTCATGTCAAGAATGAGCTGGCGATAGCGATGCCTCCCCCCACATCATCCACCTTTCCAGCTGTCACTGCAGGCTTGTTGACCCCTATCGGTCGAGAGCCTGCAAGCCCAAAGCTTGTACCACAAGACGCTTCCAACCTCCCCATGCCATCACCGTTCCCAGGAGACCAGGATGCAATTGCTACTTCCTATTTCAGCCATACTGCTACTGGCGAGCAGCCGCTGGGTGATGATGCTGTGGTTGAGGATGGGCAAGATTTACCGAGCGAAGCAAGCTACATCGGTGAGACGTCCTTCTTCAGCTCAATAGGCTCATCGAGAGCTTCAGTGTTCCATCCAAACCATGAGTCAGCCTTCACACCTGTACGGTTCACATTTGGTATGGACGGTGCTGGCTTCTCACGTCCGCTGGATCTATCGTCGCCTCCACCAGAAGCGCGACTGATCGAAGAGCAACCTTCGAAAACCGAGGCAGAAGACATGTCCAGGTTGCGCCAGAGTATACCCGAGAGCGAGCCAGATGAAGCTGTAGAGGATTCGGCTACCGCAGACTCCCGAATCGCTATAGATGGACCAGGCGAGCTGGAAGTGGTAAAACTTTCATCCAAGGACGAAGAAGATGGTGTGAGTGAGACAGAGATGGACTCGGTGACAGCTGAACAACCGATGCATTCGATTTCTGCTGAACAACCTGAAGAAGGCTCCAGCACAGCGGAGGACCTGCAATCTAGGAGTGGGGCCCTTGAGGAAATTGATCGTCAAGAATTAGCCACGGGCAAGCTAAATCCAACAGCCACATCAGCCATTGTTGATCTGGGCCCTCCCATGGACGACAACGAAGTCGAGCCCAGCCACGAACAGCAGCAGCTTCAGCCTAGCCAGCGCACCTCCACTACTCAGGACCAGTCCCCTACCATGGATGTTGATAGTCATAGTGAGTTTGTAAATCTGGATCTTTCGACCGAAGATGCACAGACCCTTGAAACGACAGTGGAGCAAACAGTCACTCACACTCAATCTCAGGAACCAGAACCTGATGTCGTATCACGTCATATGGAGGAAGATTTGTCTCCTGATGGTCATCCATCTGGATCAATCTTCGAGGCTACTGATGATTACTTGCAAGACGCTTTCCCAATGGAGCATTCATCATTCGTCCAGGAACATGAGCAGGTAGCTGGTCTTGGGCATAATCACCAGTCAGACATCAAAGTGGAGTCAATAGAAGAGGTCTCGATATCACAGTCAAATGAATTCAATACTCACTTGGGACATGAAAACAGCACACATGCAGCTACTGAGTCTGCGAGCCAACAGTATCCCACGGCGCCTGAGGACGACCAGAAACCAGGAAGCGTGGATATTTTACCAGAATCGCCTGCAAAGAGTACCAGGCCGGAAGTAAAGACTGCAGCCTCGCCAAAGAAAGGCGAAGCATCCGTCCCCATGTCCAATACAAAACCCGAGGGATCTTTGACCTCTATTGCACATTCAGCTGTTTCACCGCCTAGGAAACGCACTCGTTCTGCCTTGTCCCCATCGCAGGAGTCTACTCAGACGTCTCCCTACAGTCTTCGCTCACAATCGAGGCAGTTTTCCCCAGCAGAAAGCTTTTCGGCTGATGTTACTGCTACCCGAAAAGGGCTGCCCAAAATTGCTTCGCAAAGCAATGTGAACTCGGTGTTCGATTTTGGAACCTTACAAACCCAGGACCAATATCAGTCTGTCTCCAGCTTCCAGCCGTCGCAAGAGTTAGGCGCATCACAGGGCAGATACTCTGACGTGGCTTTCGTGAAAGATTCCGAAGAAGAAAGCGTTCGATCTGAGCACACTATATCTATTGTGCACCCCTCCGATGATATGGGACACATGCACCACAGCGACCCTGTCGATCGTGCTGTCGATCATGCTACCAATGTTCGGGCAGACGAAGAGGACACAAAGCCACCACCCGCAACCGCGCCCGAGCTAAGAAGATCAAGCCGAAAGACGAAAGGGAAGAAATCGGACTCACAAGTGATTGCAGGGCTACATAGTAATAGTCCTGCTCGACCTGGCTCTTCACATGCTACTCAGCCGTTGCATAGCAGTCCAGGCATGCAACGACGCGAAGCACGATCACAGGAAAACATAACTCCCAGTCCGCGCAATGTGCGGAGAACGAGGAGAAGAGTGTATGAGTCCGATGAGTTTGCAACACCAAACGCCAGCCAGAAAGCGGACGAGCAGATCTCATTCGGTGAAGGTGAAGACAACCAAGGCACCGTTGATGTCGATGACTTTGTGCGCAGTTCACCACCTGGATCTCCTACCATCGATCAACGAACGAAAAAGCATAGCAAAAAGCCTATTACTCCAAGTGCAGCACAACAGACAGCCATGGATTCGCAACCCAGTTTCAACGACCACCAAGAACAGGATATGTTGTTGACACCTCAGCTTACACAAACCACGTCTGCAGGTCTTCGTTCCTTCGAAGCTGATAATGTGGCCAACACAGAAGCTATTGCCGCGTCACTCAATCCCCAAACTACTGCCATATCTCCAACACTTATTGATGCATCCTCGGACGATGCCGACAACGACACGCTCGGAGAACCATCAGTTGGCCTGTCTACGCCACTAGCTTACTACACCCCTCTCAAGGATCTCCTGTACTTCCTGAACCGCTCCTCTCAATTTCACTCGGCTGCCAATCCTGATGTAATCGCGCTCGTCACGTCTCCTACCACGCCAAGCGAAAAAGCCAAAAAGGGACCGAAACATTGGTTCACTACCCTGCAAATCACTGATGCTAGCTCTTGGCCTCAAACAACCACAGTACAGATCTTCCGCGCTCATCAGATTGCACTTCCAGAAGCACAGGTTGGCGATGTAATTCTACTTCGCGCATTTGCTGTCAAGTCGTTGAACAGGCATCCCACACTCACCAGTGCAGATGAAAGCGCGTGGTGTGTGTGGCGCTGGGGCAGACCCATCTGGGGCGCAAAGAGGGGTGCGTTTGGCGAGTTAAGAGCGAGGGAGGAGACTAAAGGGCCGGCTGTCGAGAGAGGAGAAGGGGAATGGCGCGAGGTGGAGAAGTTGAGGAAATGGTATGCAGCAAAGGTACAGAGCGAGCTGGTGGAGAAAGAAGAGGGGAAGGTCAAGACGAGGAGTAAGGATAAGGGGAAGGCGGCGGCAGATGGAGATGCATGAGTGCTATCATCCGCTGCACGGCGTTGACAAAGGATATCTTCGGACAGGGACTGTCATGGGCATTTGCGCATGCATATTGTGTTATATCGAAGCATTGTATGAGCTGTCAGAGGAGTGGTCAGACGATAGCTGCATGTGTTGTCAGAGCGACATCACTCTTGCACCCGAGAACGAATATAGAGATCATTCATGTGTATCATTGGTTTCTACCATATTCCTTTTCATGTGATCGTATCTTCATAGCCCACACCTAAACCTTCAAGCCGGAGACAGCCTTCCGCCAGACGCATTCGTAACTACTAGACGGGTCGGTAGACCTGCTTTCCGTTACAAAGACGTCCAGCTACTAAGCACACTCCACACTCTCATGGTTCAATTGTATGAGACGTCTACTTCTCGTAAACCCAGTCGTGCTGAGCGGACTTCCAGCTCTGGACCTCGCCGTCCTTGAACCAGAGAGCAATCTCCTTCTTGCCGTTCTCAACGGAGTCGGAGCCGTGGCAGACGTTGCGGCCAACGTCGAGGGCGTAGTCGCCACGGATGGTGCCGGGGGCGGAGGCGAGGGGGTTGGTGGCACCGAGGATGGAGCGGCCGGTCTTGACGGCGTCACGGCCCTCCCAGACCATGGCGCAGACGGGGCCAGAGCCCATGTCTAGACAGTGTCAGTGATTTGTTTCGATATATCTCGTTTGCGAGGGCCACGTACAGGCAATTAGACCGGGGAAGAAGGGCTTGTCGCTCAAGTCGGCGTAGTGCTTCTCGAGGTGCTCCTTGGAGGGAGTGACCATCTTGATACCCGCAAGCTTGAAGCCACGGTTCTCGAAGCGGGTGATGATGGGACCGATGAGGCCACGCTGTCGAGCATCTGTTAGCATATGTGCTTTTTGCTTTTTGTTGAGAAGTCTGCTGCTTCAATTGTGACAGCTGAATGATTATGGAGATTCATGGCAACGATTGATGCAATTGACAACTTGGAGAGTGGGCATTGGGAGAAGTGAATGTTGTACATACCTGAACACCATCAGGCTTGACAGCGATGAAGCTGTTCATCTGTCAGTATACCGTTCACCGCCCTTCAGCTGCCCCTCGTCGTGGAATCGGAGGGTTCGGAGCATTGGACATACGTCTGCTCGGTAGTCATTTTGGCGATGAAGTGACTTTTGAGTTTTTCTTGGTAAAAGTGATTTGTCTATACGACTTGAAGAGAGGAATCGGGAAGAAGGGGCGGACGTGTAGCTGGAATTTTATGAAGGGGTGGGGTATGGGCTGCCCTCGTTGTTGTCTAGTGGGGTAGCTTGCATAAAGTTATGCCTGATTTGTGCAATGGAGCTGGACCCTGACCTTGGCGCTGCTTCAAAGTCCACATGGCATCTCGAGCGCTGAGGGTTGGCTGATTGATTGATGAATTGATGATATTCCGGGCTGGCTTCTGTCTACTAGAGAGCTGCCTGTCATGATTACTTTACGGGAACAGCCTCCCCGGTGGACGGCTGTCTTCTTCTTTTTGGCGTTATTGGCGTGTCTGTTCGTGCCAGCTGGTATGTAGCTAAGCTCACTGCTCCATATCCCCAATTCACGACTACGTCTCCTCTTCTTTACATGCGAAGCTGCAAGGACGCTACTAAAAGACAATAGTATCCGTCAAGCACGAGAACTTCAAAACATGCAGTCAATCGGGCTTCTGCAAGCGCAACCGCCAGTTCGCCGATGACGTCTCCGCTACGAGCTCCTGGACCTCACCCTATGTTCTCGACCCTGCCTCCATCACATTCAACGACGGACAATTGGATGCTGTCGTGCTCAAGACACTGAAGGAGGGCGAGGAGAAGGCTCGTCTGCCGCTTACCGTCACGTTTCTCGAATCTGGTGTCGCACGCGTTACTCTCGACGAGGAGAAGAGGGCAAAGGGCGACATCACACTCCGCCACGACAGCAAAGCGCGAAAGGAGAGATACAATGAGGCAGCACAATGGACTCTTGTTGGAGGTCTGAACCCGTCCAAGGGCGCTGCCTTCAACCCGGACACGGAAGACGGCTACACCAAGGTCGTCTACAGCAAGGGCAGCAAGCACCAGGCCGTCATCCGACATGCACCCTTCGGTATCGAGTTCCAACGCGACGGCGAGACACAAGTCAAGTTCAACGAGCGTGGCTACATGAACGTCGAGCACTGGCGACCCAAGGTTGAGAAGCCCCAAGAAGAAAAGAAGGAAGGTGAGGAGGAAACCAAGGAAGAAGAGAAGAAGATCGAAGAGCCTGTCCAAGACGAAAGCACATGGTGGGATGAGAGCTTCGGCGGAAACACGGACAGCAAGCCGAGAGGCCCTGAGGCAGTTGCGCTCGACATCACATTCCCCGGATACGCACACGTCTTTGGTATCCCAGAGCATGCTACAAGGCTGTCTCTCAAAACGACTAGGTGCGCAGCGTCCGTCCATATCTTGGTTCTTAGCTAACAAAATCCAGGGGCGGCGACAATGCTTACACTGAGCCATACCGACTGTACAACGCTGACGTCTTCGAGTACGAGATGGACAGCCCCATGACCCTCTACGGCGCCATTCCTTTCATGCAAGCCCACCGCAAAGGCTCCACCGTCGGTGTCTTTTGGCTCAACGGTGCAGAGACTTGGATCGACGTCACCAAGAAGAGGAACACCGCCAACCCACTCGCTCTTGGTGTTGAAGGTCATACCGATACTGAGACTCACTGGATGTCCGAGAGTGGTCTCCTGGACGTGTTCGTCTTTCTTGGACCTACTCCTCAGGATCTCACTCGCCAGTATGGTGAGCTGACTGGCTACACGGCCATGCCTCAGTCTTTCGCTATCGCCTACCACCAGTGTCGATGGAACTACGTTACCGATGAGGATGTCAAAGACGTTGACAGGAGGTTTGATAAGTTCAACATTCCTTACGATGTCATCTGGCTCGACATTGAGTACACACAGGAGAAGAAGTACTTCACCTGGGATCCTCTGACCTTTACCAATCCCGACACAATGCAGCAGCAGCTTGACAAGCGCGACAGGAAGCTTGTTGCTATCATTGATCCTCACATTAAGAACACTCACGATTACCCCATCATTGACGAGCTGAAGAAGAAGGACCTGGCTGTCAAGAACAAAGATGGTAACCAGTACGAGGGTTGGTGCTGGCCTGGTTCTTCCATGTGGATCGACTGCTTTAACCCAGCTGCCATCGACTGGTGGAAGGGCTTGTTCAACTACGACAAGTTCAAGGGTACCGCCCACAACACCTTCATCTGGAACGACATGAACGAGCCCTCGGTGTTCAACGGCCCTGAAACAACTATGCCCAAGGATAACCTTCACCATGGTAACTGGGAACATCGCGACGTTCACAACATCAACGGCATGACCTTCCACAACGCGACCTACCAAGCCATCACCGAGCGCAAGAAGGGAGAGGTTCGTCGCCCCTTCGTTCTTACTCGAGCCTTCTACTCTGGCAGTCAACGTACTGCTGCCATGTGGACTGGCGACAATCAGGCTGAGTGGACCCATCTCGAGGCTTCCATCCCTATGGTGCTCAACCAGGGTATCTCTGGCTTCCCCTTCGGCGGCGCAGACGTTGGAGGCTTCTTCGGTAACCCGAGCAAGGAACTTTTGACTCGCTGGTATCAAGCTGGCATTTACTACCCCTTCTTCCGCGGCCATGCTCACATCGACACTCGTCGCCGTGAGCCATATGTTGCCGGCTCTCCCTACACCGAGATTATTACTCAGGCTCTGCGTCTTCGATACCAGCTCCTCCCTGCCTGGTACACTGCTTTCCACGAGGCTCACACTACTGGCGCACCCATTATCCGGCCCAACTTCTGGGTACACCCTGACGATGAACGTGGTTTTGAAGTCGACGACCAGCTCTACATTGGTTCCACCGGTCTCCTTGCCAAGCCAGTTACCAAGGAGGGCGCCGACAGTGTCTCTATCTACATTGCGGACGACCAGCCCTACTATGACTACTTCGACTTCACCACTTACAGCGGTGCAGGACACCACACTGTTCCAGCTCCCCTCGAGAAGATTCCATTGCTTATGCAGGGAGGTCATGTCATCCCACGCCGTGACCGCCCTCGTCGATCCTCTGGTCTTATGAAATACGACCCCTTCACCCTCGTTGTCGCACTCGACAAGGACGGAAATGCTGCAGGAACCCTGTACGTGGACGACGGCGAGACCTTCGACTATGAAATGGGCGCCTTTATCCACCGCCGCTTCTCCTTCGATGGCACCCGTCAGATCCTTACTTCCTCCAACCTCGACTCCAACAAGCGTACTGTCAAGTGCGAAAAATACCTTAAAACCATGGAGAAGGTGCGCGTGGAGAAGATCATCATTGTTGGCGCGCCTAAGGCCTGGAAGAACAAGGCTGAGGTCGTTGTCATGCAGGAAGGCGAGAAGGAGACGCAGAGGAGGAAACCTGTACCGCTTGAGTTCCATGCTGCCGAGGGCAAGAAGTCCGCGTACGCGGTAGTAAGGGATCCGCGCGTGTTCATTACTAGGGGGTGGAAGATTGACTTTGCGGAGAAGGGTGCGGGGCATGAGCACCATGGTCATGAACATTGAGCTCTGAGATGTCAAGACGTGTGAGTAGCACTGCACTGCGACTGAACAAAGGCCATGGTGTATAGGATGAAAGAAAGTAGAGCGTATATAAAGTCAAGATCAAGACACCCCAATGCACTGCTGCGCACGGAGATGAATACGTGAACCCAGTTACTTTTTATGACCTACAATCTCTGTCTCCAAAACCCTTCATCTCAATGTGAGTCAGGTTCTTCTCAGGAGATTAGGCGAATAACTCAACTGATAGGATGTGCGAGTGAACATGTAGACTCAGACGTCGTGGGCTGTACACTTTTGTACTGAGACTGAAGCGTCTGCGACCGAGACCGCATCGTTTCTCCCCATTCTCATCATATCAACACCTTGAGCTGCTTTTGGCTGAGAGAGAGTGCATCGACTTTCCTAGTAGACACTACTGGTATGCGTTGCTAATATGGTCAGTAGGCTATTGTTCACTCTATGGAGAACCAAGAGATCTCAAAATGGAACGCATGACTGTCTAGTTGGTGGTTTTACTGTATCATGAGGTCCAATGTGAGTGCCGTGGTTCCGCGCAGCCAGGAAATCTGACGATGCGTGACGTCAAAGTGAGCAAAATCGTTGGTCACCCACGACAATCCTGCGTCGCAACGCGAACGTCAAATGCTAACAACAAACGGCAACGAGAGTTTAAGCCTCTACTTCTTCACTTCTCCACACCAGATACGTATCCTCCCTTCCTGTCGTCAACGGACGTGTAGCAAACATGCCTCAGTATCACACCCCCACCGGTACAGTCTCGTATCCAGATGCAAAATCAAGCTTTCCCAAATTTCCGCAGGTTGGGTTCGGTCGCGCCGTCGCTATCGGAGTTGGTGCCGGGTTTGTAGGAGCCTTAGTGTTAGTCAATGGTGCTCTGGTGATTACCCTACGACTGACGAATTATTATTAGCATGTCTGGGTCGAACAAAATCGAGCAGTTCTTCACTGGTCGCCCGGATTCCTACGTACCCGCACGAACAATGGGCAACCATCTAGGCGTCTCACCGGAATTCTACAAGCGTCACACTTTCCTGTTGAACCATGCACATCATTTTGGCATGGGAATGCTTGCTGGACCATTCCGAGCAGTCATGTCTTACTACGGTGTCATCGGACCGGTTGCTGTCTTTATGCATACGGGTCTTCGCATCATGCTGGATCAATTGATGGAGACTACCGCGAATGTGTCAGCGGCTCCTTGGACATGGCCGATCAACGAGCAGGTCATCGACATCCTGCATAAGGGAACGTATGCACTTGTCACTGGCTATATATGCGACAAGATGGTAAGGGGCGTAGATTGGTTTAACAGCTAAGCCATTTCACATGTTCAACAATCTTCAGTGATAATTAAGAGAGATAGCTGTCTCTATGCTGGAAGACAAAATCCAAAGGGAGTCTATTCATCTATCAAAACGGTCTCTTTGATGACGATTTCCCTTCTGCCGCAAATACAAGGGTCCGGTTCGCTCCCTGTCTTTTGAACAAGCCTTTTGGATTGATACTTGTATATATGTGTGATACAAGCTTAAGAGCTGTGTATATATTGACCTATCAACCTCGACAATATTGCACAAGAGTACTGTTTACTTTCCTGCCTTCGCTAGACGATTCCAATGTCTAAGACTGGCTGGTTACCCCATGTTTGGAATTGTGGCTGGTAATCTCGTCGTTCTGGTGCACTGTCGTCTTAACCATGATACGCCCGGCATTGTTTGCAAGTTCCTCCTGGCTACTATGTGCATCTTCCCAGTATATGTCCGCGGCGTCGCGGTTGCGTCGGCCTGAGGAACTGACGATGCTCTTCATTCTGATCTCATCGGTCCCTTGTTTCAAATAGCCTTGAGCGTTATACGATGGCTTTGTCGAATCCATGTACTTCCGAATGAAGGATGCGAAGGCGGGTGAACAGGCAATCATTATGGCTACCAAGTAAATCAGTTGCATTCCCAATCCAACGGGTTAAGAGAGAGTTTATACCTATTGAGCATTCCAGTATAGTCCATAGCATCAACCATTTAGGTTCTGGCGTCGTAGCCTTTCCATCGCCATCCACACCAACTTGTAAGCAACGTATAGTTGCAAAAGCGATGCAAATAAAACCGCTACCGAACAATACAAAGATGCCTATTTTTTGCTTGCGAGGCATCTGAAGATTCCATGTGAGACGTAGTGGCAGAAACATGACTACAAATATGAGCACACTACTCTGATCTTCTGCAATTGCTCAACTTACCAGCTAGATCAGTTGCCACATCAACGGAGTACGCGAAGTAGAGGCTGAAAATAACCCTCTGGTCTTCATTGGCAGTTCCTCCGCATTGGCCCTCTCTGAACTCGGCGTTGAGATCGTCACATGTAGTGAGAGTGCTAACGATGCTACCAACCCACGCCTAGATGTTCTTTAGCTCCATTCAGTGACTGTGATAGAAGGTTTGGCTTTTAGTACTTACCAGCACGCAAAAGGCGACTATGCTCCACCATATATTTCTGTAGATCCTCGGCAGTCCGGTGAGCAGCTTGCGGTACAGCGTCATCAACGACATTTTGACCGAAATGAGAAGTGTGTAGAAGCACATTTGGCCAGCAACAAGGAACTTCAACATCGCTATAGCATCGTCCTTCATCGTGGCGTACGGTTCAGTCTTTCCCTCCAGAACTGCATACGCTCTGTATATCGATGGCGCAACGACATGGTAACAAGCCCATAGTGCGACAAACAAGCAGAAAGCAAAGTAGACGAAGAAATCGGGCAACTCAAAAGGTTTTCGTTTGACGATCTGCAGCACAGCGCGCGTAAGAACAAATCCAGATGTCAGAAGGAGCATAACAATATTTGTACGAAGAAGAACATCCTTCGAAACCGGCGCCTTCGAGGCTGCGTACATGATGGATAGTTGGATGCCTCAGAAGGATTTGAGAAACGTACTATCGAGTAGAGACAAACAATCGTTGGCGTATCAAGATAAATGAAGCTCGTGGCAAGGAAGACGTTCCTCGTAAGCAGCTTCCATTCGTACAACGGTCTTCACGACCCGTGCCTGTCGTTCAAAATGCTGTTTTTCTAAACCCACTCCGTCATGACTAGCACCTGTAAAACCCTCCAGCGATAATCGGTGGCAATGGAAAAAAGAACCATGGGGTACGTTGACAATGGAGTGTGATCTGAGAAGAAGGATTGCATGTCTTCTCGCTTGGCAAGATCGAAAGATCAACAACGGGCGTATTAGCGGACGTCTGACTGATAAGAAAAATGAGTGAGGCTCAATCCTTCATCCCACGTTCAGCGGGCGGACTGGAACATGCCAATTTCTACCAATCGTGCAACAACGGGAGGCGATGCAAGTGGATGACTGCTTAGAGTCGACTAAACGCCTCCCGATCGGCTGTCATGCTAACTATGCAGCGCAACGGATTGGAATAAGCTGCCAGGACCGAATTGACTATGTCATTGCAGATTATCATCCTGATGAACTCACGGAAAGTGCACCCGATGAGGGACGTTGCAACCGTGCCTTTGGGATTCGCGGCATGCATCCTAATGGCCACTCGGCCACCAGTGTTCGGAACGGCACAGCGGGACAGCGCCCCTGCACACTGTGAGGCAGGAACACGTTCCTTGTAGGTGCAGATGACTAGAGTTTGACAAAGTCCTCACCCTATTCGGGACGTAAAGAGCATATGTGGCAAATGAGCCATGAATGCAAGGCCAGCGCAAAGAATGTTTACAAAAACTATACATTGATGTACAAACTATGCTCGAAGAAAGTACGGGGAGGCAAACGGACGTAAGTACAACGGTCCGCACTCGCTGTCGGCATGGGTGGGGACATGGTAGGAAATTCCCCCGCGCAACCAGTATGAGTTCCTTAGCGGCTTGGCATCCAGGGTCGATCTCCGCTATCTCGGCGTAGGTACGTCCATGAGTGTGTAGAATTGCCTTGGGGTCTTCCTGAGGAGGCCTGATTTGCATGGCAACCCGTCGTTGGTTCAACACTACCACGTCTTCATCCACAGTATGTCCATTACACTTACATCGAGCCACAGGTGCTTGCCGTTGGTATGAGTCTAAAATCTGCAACTCGTTTGCACTTGTGTTTCCGCTTTCAAAGATATGGCAGTGCCAATGGCTGGGGTACCACATAGGAGGTTCGAGGCGCCGCACGTAGTGGCGGGAGACAAGCTTTAGTCAACACAAGAACGCGAGCCATCTCCAGAAAGGAATTCCTTCGAGCTCGCTTGCAGTGTTTATATTGCGGTAGCAGCCCTACTGCATACACTACTGTACGATGGCTCCTGAGTCGTAGGTTGCAGCCGGGGACGGGTTGCTAAGAAAAGAAGGATGAAGGGCTGCAGATGGAGCGCACCAATCGTTGTCCGACGCAGATCTACCAACCGTACCTAGGTAGTGGAATAAATTAGATCGAACCTGCACTCCATAACAACCAGTGTCTTGGATCACGCCCAAGTTTCTTCTTCTCTCCCACCGAACCCAGGATGAAATCCTTCCTTGCCCTTGGCGCCTTCGTGGCATTCGTTTCAGCTCAAACAGGGGTCTTCGAGCCCGCAAACTTCAACGTGACTAAAGCTTTGATCGCAAACGGCGTTAATGTCTCCGCCATCCCTCAGCTTTCGGGCTTGGTGGAACGAACATCCCTTGGTGGTTGCTCGATTGCTGTGCGTCACCTCTTTAGTAGCCTCACATGATGCCAAAAGCACTGACAGATCGATAGTGCTCTTCCTTAAAGCTCATATACGGTAGCGAAAAGCTTTTATCGGAGCAAACCCCAACCTATGACACCTTCACTAGCACATATTGGGCTGCGCAACAGGGGGAATTGCATCCTAGATGTATCTTTGAGCCTTCAAGCACAGTCGAAGTGTCATCTTTGGTCTTGATATCTCGTTTGACGCAGTGCCCCTTTGCTGTCAAGGGTGGTGGCCATGCTGCCTTTGCTGGTGCATCCAGCATTGAAGGTGGCATCGCCGTTTCGATGAAGAGATTTAACACTGTTGCGGCTTCGAATGACAAAAAGTATGCTAATGTCGGTCCTGGAAACTTGTGGGTCGATGTTTACAATAAATTGGAGAAGTTTGGCCTCGGAGTCGTTGGCGGCAGAGTGAGTCCAGCTAGGAATGGCATCATGGAGCTCTGCTAACATTGTTTTAGATGGCCCCTGTTGGTGTTCCAGGTCTTGTATTGGGTGGTGGTATTTCTTTCTTCTCCAACAAGGTGGGGTGGGCCTGTGACAACGTTGCCGCCTACGAAGTTGTCACAGCCTCTGGCCTCGTGGTAACCGCTACCCCTGCGGCATTCCCAGACCTTTACTGGGCACTTCGGGGCGGCGGTGGAAACTTTGGCATCGTTACCAACTTCAAGCTCGATGCGTTTCCGCTTGGCCAGATGTGGGGTGGCCAGCGCATCTTTACGGAAAACAATTTCAACAGCGTGCTTGACGCTCTTTACAACTTCGCCGTCACTGGGTCTTCTAAGGATACAGATGCTGCAGAGATTGTTGTACGTATCCTCTACTTTCGGTGTGTGCATCGGCGAGGTTCTAACCACACACAGTCCTTTGGTTTCACTCCCAGCATTGGAAAGATTGCGATAGTCCAAACACACTATGCTCAACCTGTCGCTGATCCTCCTGTTTTCGATGAGATCCGAGCTCTTTCTCCTGTGATGGACGACACAGCATTTGGTACGCTGGCCAACATGACCATGAAGATGAACGGCGGTAGAGCAGAGGAAGCCCTCGGTAATCGTCAAACGATGTGGGATGTGTCCCTCAAAGTCGACCGCGAGCTTTACACTTACCTCGTTGATACCTTTTACACGCTTCTGCCTGAGATTCAAGCTGTCGAAGGTCTTTCGCCATTTATTTCTATCCAGGCTATCACCGAAGGCCAACTCAAAGGTATGCAAAAGAACGGTGGTAATGCGCTAGGTCTCGACGCCGGCAAGGGCCCATACTTTGTCATGAACATGAGTGCCTGGTGGAAAAAGGCTTCGGATGATGCCACTGTTCTCAAGTTCTTCTCGACTGTCATGAAAAATGTCAAGGCTTATGCAAAGGGCAAGGACTTGGACAACGACTACATCTATATGAACTACGCGAGCGAGTTCGAGGACCCTCTCGCAAGTTACGGATCGGCGAATGTGGCGAAGCTGATCGCTGTGAGCAAGAAGTACGACCCTGCTCAGGTGTTCCAGAAGCTTCACCCAGGTTACTTCAAGTTGGGCCAAGGAGCGCCAAACAAGAACATGCCGTAGACTCTTCTTCGCATACGCCAGTTTGCCAAGAGCCAGAAGTGGGCGAAAATGAGCTCTCCGGCTTCAATCAATCAATCATGCTTCTCAGTGTGACTGCCTCAAAGTTAAGTTTGAACTAGACTGGTGCAATTGCAAACTATATGCAGCTAGTTACATGGCCATAATCGATTCCCCACCATCGTGTGTTATCCTTTTCCGGATAGTAATCTTGAGCAGCTGACCCGTAGCTTTTACTAA